AAGGCACTTAAAGAACAATCCCACTGTTTTTAATATCTTGTTTGTTTTTTATATTTCTGTCTTTGGTAAAACTCAATGACTCTTAAATGCAAAGGCAGGTTAAAAAAACAACTTATATTCACAGAACTTTCTTTTGGAATATGCACGTGAGAACAATTTAAATTATTAATGGCTTTTCACATTGGGTTTTGCCATAGAAATATTCCATTTAACACATTTTGCATTTTTCGTTAACATAACACAACTCGAGGATTGCTGACTAGCTTGTTCCTGAGCTTTCAACTCAATGACTGAGTTTTTGCATAGTTTGACCATTAAGATTGTCTTGTAATCCAGCTGTACTTTATAAATACTTAAACTCAAAGTTCTTTCCTGTAGAGGCGGCTGGATCTGCCTTAATACAGGTAGGCCTGTATTAACGTCTCCACGTCGCCACGTCTCCACGTCAACGCGACTCTGTAGCGAGGCGCTCTGCCGGGGCCAAGGTCGCTGCGTGAGGAAGCGCTGGGACGACGACGTCTACCTCCACCTCGACCCGCGGCGTTACCGCATCGGGCGTTGGAGCCTCCGCGGGGGCCGGCATACAAATGGACATACAAACGGCTATGATGCGTAATGCAATACAATGAAACCATAAAACTTAAAATGAATACAGAAAAAAGCTCTGACCTTGTTTGTGTACATTAGCACGCTAACCTAAGATGGTGAGCACTGTAAAAGGCAAATGTCATAGAAATACAGGAGTAGTACGGGTATTTAACTGTTTACCTGGTTAATTTGACAAGTACAAAAGAAAATGGAGACGCTGTTATGGTGACATACACGTCAGTGCGGCTGTAAATTGTTGTCGCAGCTCCAATGACCAACTACAGCATCCTTTAATGCTACACTGGTTACAGAAAATCAGTCGTCTGGTAATGGCAATGTGCTTTTCTCTGCTGTGTGGATGAAGCACTAAGTTGTTAAATTTAACATATTTTGGCTCTAGACACTTAACTTTTCTACTACTTTTTTTTTAGTTCCTTCAAAACCTGACCTCAGTGAGTCCACCACTTGCTGTAAGTCTGTCTAGTTTATATAGAATGTAGCCCGCTACAACGATTGCAATGGCAACGGTACACTTAAAAATGGCCGCCGCTCTGACCGTCCTGCTACATTGCTTTGAATGGTCCGTTCTGCTCCTATTTCATTTCTGCTGTTAGCATTTGGCTCAAAGCCCAGTGAAGGATTGACAGTCTGAATACACTTCAGTTCATATAAAGTGTCTGATATGAAACAACAAATGCATCCTCGTCGGTTCAGAAATCATGCTCGGTGACGTAACCGAGCTCTTCAGCCACTCTCTGACCGCCTTCAACTCCGTGCTCCGTCTCCACGCCTGGTTCATTTCCTGTGGACGGGGTTAAGAAACACGGATGGAGTTCAGGATTTGAGTTCTCTTGTTACTTAGCAGAAGACCAGATAAATTCAATTCTAATACATCACATATTTGTTCAATAGGGGGCGCACTGAGGTGTGCGTGGTTTACCTCTCTTCCTGCTGCAGTAGATGGACACCATCAGGATGGTGGACATGCAGTACAGACAGAAGACCACTAGAGGGCAGATCAGTCCCACCACAGACAGATGAAGAGGAGGAGGATCTGGAGAGGAAACCAGCAGCATTTACAGTATTGCAGTGTTTTTTCATTATGAAATTCACTCGCTGTGCTGCAATCCCTCCACTACAGATCAATAAGGAAGTAGAAGATATCTACTCGATTTGACTCAACTTCATTCTGCATCAGCCTCAAATCAACCCAAATATATAAACTTTTTAATATGTTTCTACAGAAGGACTGTAGATTTGGTCCCTCATCACTTACTTTGCAAGTTCATGATAAAAGGGATCCTTTGTACGAACAGGATTCATAATTATAATCTGACTACATTGTTTTAAGACGGATATTAAATACTGTGACTCTTTCCTCTAATGCAGCCAAATTCACAATGTAGTTGTTCCGAGTTGGGGCTTAATCATGACATCATCAGACTAAATAAATAAGTTTGATCAGCTATATTGACATTTAAAGTGAGTGATCACAGGAGGCATCAACCTTCACTGGGCGTGTCTGTAATGCTGCGTTCACGGGCAGGCTGGTTTCATCCACCATTCGTAGCTATAACTACAAAAAAAGAATGCGTCGTAATTTGTAGATATCATTTTGTATGTTATCCACGTAATCATGAGCGAGGATGGACAATCGACGATCTTTTTTCTAAACCTGAGTTGTTTCCTGTGAAGATGGAAGTTTATTTTGAAAAGACTATAAATGTAACGAGCAGAAAGTGACACGTGTTGAAAGTTTGAAGTTGAAATCATCTCAATTTTGAGTTTTGGGTTAGTACATCAATTAAACTGTGTGTGTGTAGATATGTTACCACATCAAAAATATAGTGTTTAAAAAACTCTAAACTTTATAAATGTGTCTGTCATATAACCGTTGTAATTTAAACAGACAGTGGAGGTTGGTGTCCTCACCTACAACACTCATCCAGGTCTTGGATGATTTTGAAAACAGACCAGTGGAACACCAGTAGAGGCCTTCGTCAGACCGCTGCACATCGCTGATGGTGAACTCTCCTGCGAGTCCAAATCCAATGAAGCTCCTATTGCTGAAGAAATACACTAGTTGTGACGAACTTTCTCTGGTTTTACAGCGCAGAGTGACATCACTTCCTGCAATCACAGGAAGTTTGGGAAACTCCAGCAACACAGAATGACCTGAAAGAGAAACACAGACCAGAGTCATATACAGACAGAGGTATTCCATTGGAACAATACAAACACAGTGACAGTTAGTTTACGTACCAGAAACACTGATGTTGACCTGGACGCTCCTCTGTGCAGCTCTGGTTTCACACCAGTAAACCCCACTGTCTGATGAGAACAGATGTGGAATAATGCAGGAGGAACCATTAAATCCACCAAAGTCTTGTTGACCGCCATCGCACGTCTGTGTCTGTCCTCCTGTTGTCCTCTTCACCGCCCATCCGTCTACCGTCTGTCCATCATCAACACAGCTCAGAGAGACGGCGTCTCTTCTCAAGAACTGCTGACGGTTTGGACTCACACTCAGAAAGACTGGAGGATAAAACAACAGAGTTAAGTGTGGACGTTTGTGTGAATGTGTGTGACTCAATGTCCTTATAAATATGTGTCGTCTTTGGCTCACCTGCAGAGACAGTCAGCTCAAACAGCAGCGCAGCCAGGCCTGCAACGGGAAGACGGGGTTACTAAAGGCCAGAGGTGAAAGGACAGATACAGTAACTGAGATCAGGCCCAGACCTTTCAGCCTGTGGACTTCTTCTACTGAACTACATCAGGAAACTGTGGAGAAATCCAAGTGAAATGTGTTTCAAGCGAAAAGGGAACCACACGAAAACCACAAGGAAAAAGGAGAAATACTTGAATAGCGTAGACTTGCTGTTGCACATGAATAAATATACTACATGACTGAAAATCACACTGTTTGATTAAGAACAATTAATCAGATTTAGAGTTTCATGAATCAGTATTTTTCATTTATTATTTCTGTTAATTGTTATTGTGTAATCAATGACACTCAACCTTTAAATGACTAGTTAATGTTTACTGTTATCATTTAACCCATGAGCCTGATAGTTACTGTTCACCCACTCTTTACTATTCAGTTACCTTTCAATGACTAGTTACTGTTATCTTAACCCATGACACTGACTAGTTAGCTGACTAAATGGTGATCACTGACTCGCTTGTTCAAAGTTACATTTCAATGACTGGTTACCGTTTACTTTCATCATTCAACCCATAAGACTGACTAGTTACTGGTCATTGACTTGTTTGTTCACTGTTGCCTTTCAATGGGTGGTTATTGTTTACCTTTTACTGACTCGTTACTTTTCACTAACTAGTTACTGTTTACAGTTACCTTTCAATTAGTTACTTTTATACTGACTAAACTGTTTACTGTCATCATTCAACCCACAACACAGACTTACTGTTTAATGTCATCATGTAACCTATAACACTGAATGGTTACAGATCAATGACTAGTTTCATGACTAGTTACCTTTTTAATGACTAGCTCCTGCTTCACGTCACCATTAACCATTAAAACCGTTTGTGACTCACCGAGAACCAGAGAGACGGACGAAGCCTTCATGTTGTCTGGATGATGAGTCCGTCTTTGTGCCGCTGAACATTTATAACTCACAACATATTACATCACATGACTTCTGGTTTCCTGACCCGGAGGAAGATAGTCAGTGAGGATTCACTTTGTTAAGTGCAGACGGAACATTTCATCACCAACAGACATAAAGAAACTCACCACCATGATGTTAGTGCGTACGTTTTGAGGAACGAAGCTGCGAGGATCAAAGTGCACTTATATATAATAAGTAATATACATACATACACACATACATATACACAAATATATACATACATATCTATATATGCTGCAGGTGTTTGTCCTGTAGGGGGAGTCAGAGCTCCGTCCCTCCACACTGCTCACTCACTGACTTAATGAAGATCTGTCGACTGAACCACAGATACTAAACACACAGAAGACAGGAAAACACTGAAACTAATACTAATGATGCACTGGAAAGAGTTTAAAAATATGTAAATTAATCAAAATACTTAAATTATTTAAAAAACAGTGCCACCTTTAAGTCATTATTTTTCCCTGAGTCAGTTCTGGAGAAGTAACTTTTCAGACCAACCGACACCAACCAAGAGTCGGCTGACTCTTTAAAAGAATGAGGAGTAAACTTCCTGTTTGATGGAGTTTAAAGACTCTTTCAAAGACCAGAACTGTGTTTTCAAAGTGGCTCCAAACAGCAAATACGGAGGCTGTTTTATATTTCTTGTGAAAAAAAGAGATCTGGCCAGAATGCAAGAATTTGTAGAGCAGCCAGTAATTTATGCAATCTGGATTACATCACGAGTTTAAATACAGAGAAACGTAAATATGAATCTACAGAATAAATTAAGTGTTCATGTGGGCTGCTGTGTAACTCTCAGTGTGCCACCGATGATCGTACTGACTGTGTCTTCACACTCGGCTGTCTGGCCTCGAGGCGGCAGGATTTCTCTTCTGTTTTCAGTTCTGCTGTCAGAAACATTTTTCCTCCAACAGCGTCGGGCCGCGCTCGTCGTGCCTCTGCTGCTGTTTCTGATTTCACAAACAACAAAGATCTGAGCGATGCACGGAGCTCTGCACCAACGCAGCACATATGATTACTCCAATTTCATCATCACTCAGTTTCCAAAGAAACTGCAGAATGTATCGTCTCCACAAAGCAGGGACTGATGAAACACTGTGGTAAAAGCATTTGGAGATGTTCATTACTCACCTGAGAACTGAATCGATTGTGACGCTTTATTTCACAGGTCTGTATCTGATACTTTACTGTCGAGAGTTAGAGAAGAAGATTGATACAAGTCTCCTGTCTGTATGGTAACTTGACGCTGGTTAGCTTAGCTTAGCATAAAGACTGGAAACAGGGGGAATCTTCCCACCAGCACTGAGGAACATTTCACTATAGTAAATACAGTGTTCATTGTAAAATAAGACATATTCTGTGGTGGAATGTGCAGAGCTCAGGGCTGAAACACACTCATTGTTCAGTCCTATGAATGACTGAATTTCAGAGCACAGTGAGATTTTATGTCGCAACACATTTCATGTCCTCTCATCCATATTCAGGACTCGTCAGCATCAGCTGGTCCTCCAGAAGAATCCAGTATCTGACGAACAGCCGGCCTGTTGTGTGCTCTATGAATATTTCATGTCTGGGATGCTGAGGCCTGCAGGTCTGGCAACGTTTTGTGTTTGAAAACGTCGCAACAACAGTCAAATTAGCTCGTGTTGACGGCCCCTTAAAAATGTAGTCGTGCTAGAAGAGATTTAGTGGTTATTGACTCTGGTCAGCGGGTTTAAGGCGAACTGAACTAAAGTAGCTAAAGATACTTATCGGTGGAAGAGGTAAACTATATTGTATAAAAATACTTCAGTTAATGAACAAAAAGTATAAAAATCTAAAATATACAAAAGTACCAAATGTTATGCAGAATGGCCCATTTCAGAAAGAATATGAATTATTAAATATATATATATATTAGAATAAAAGATTTGAATTATTGATGTGTTTATCATTAATGTACAGCGGGTAAAGGTGGGGCTCATTTTAATTACTTCCTAAACTTCTGGATAGTTTAATCTATACTAATACATCCTAATTTAATAGTTTAATCAATTTGTATTAAGCTTAGCTTAAAATTAATAGATTTATATTTGGTATTAATAATTAACATCTACATAACATTAGAGTAAAGAAAATAGTATATGTCCCCAAAATGTACTTCTAGTATAAAGTAGCATTAAATAGAAATACTCAAGTAAAGTAAGTAAGGTTCTCAAAATTGTACTTGAAAGGTGCTAAATTAAAAATTAAGAGCATATTGCCTCCACACAGCTCTCAACATGGCGGCTAAGGCGGCAGCTAGCAGCTAACAGAGCTGCAGTGCAGAGGGGCGGCACTAAAAGCACACGCAGCTGGCCGACTATGTCAACAAAGCACAGAAACAGTTGGTGCGGCTCAGTGGTTGTAATGTCTGTCCTCGTCTTAAGACATTTCTTACATTTTATCAATGCAACACAAGAAGTTTCTGAAAACTTAAGAATGTACTTTACTGGATGGATGGATGGGTTTACCAAGAGCTGGTGCAACCTGAGGCGGGCATGGTGGTGTTGTCTCACAACAAGAAGGCTCTGGGTTGAAACCTGCCAGCTGAGGTCTGCGTGCTTCATCCTGAATACCAGAGATTAAGTTAAACAGGTTAATTGGTTAAAACGTGTTTATCTGTCTCTTTGTGTCAGTTCTGGGATTAACTGGCAGGCTGTCCACGGTGTACTCCAGCTCTCGCCCAGTGTCAGCTGGCATTGGGATCAGGCGGCAACCTCCGGTTCTGAAAAGTGAAGCCGATGCTGAAGTGTCTTAAAGCTGCATTCTCTCTAGTGACCACCAGGGGGCGACTCCTCTGGTTGTATAGAAGTCTATGAGAAAATGACTCTACTTCTCTCTTGATTTATTACCTCAGTAAACATTGTAAACATGAGTTTATGGTCTCAATCTCTAGTTTCAAGTCTTCTTCAATACAGCATGATGTTCATTTAGTACATTATGGTCCATTTAGAGTCAAACAGACCATAAAGCAGGGTATGCTTTAGGGGCGGGGCTACACGGTGATTGACAGGTCTCTACCAGAGACGTATATGACGTCTCTACGTCACTCCTCCTCAGCCCAAATGTGGTCACTTCGGATCACTGGTTGCAAAAAAACAAGATGGCGACAACCAAAATGTCAAACTCGAGGCTTCATCAGTCCACAAACCAATGAGGTGACGTCACGATGACTACGTCCACTTGTTATATACGGTCTATGGCTGGGATCCAGCACCCCACAACTCTCTGAGGATAACAGGTCATAGATAACGAATGGAGCGATCCAATGCAAGAGAGGAGGAACTTGATTGCGTTAAGGTCAGCGTGTTACCGACGACACTGTAGATATTATAGAAAACCAGCCATTAGCATTCCAGATACTCTGTTAAGCCAAAGTGTAAGGGGGGGGGGGGGTTGAGTTTGATCACACCAGAACAGCTGAGTGCTCACTAAACCTCTTCCTGGTGGAGCCATCCCCCTCCTTACACTGGCGGCCTGGTCCTGCCCGGCCCAGCTTGGCTCAGCCTGGTCCCCCTCCCTGTATAATCTGCTCCGTCAGATGGAAGCTGTGGTCCGGTGCTGGTGGTGGGGGGGGGGGGGGGGAATAAGAGTTTTATTGTCCCCGATTCTTCCCCTTTGTTGGGGATTGCAGCATCATTTCTAGGTCACTGGCTGTGACTGAACGCCCCACTGCCCAAACTGATTCTTCACCGAGGGGTATTCATCTCCCTCCCCATTTCTCGCCCTGCACTTTCAGGAGGAAACACGATTAGAAACATGCTCCCAGCAACAAACAGCCGGGCGGCGATCTGCCAAACGGTTCCAGCTTCTGTTGTCTGTCAGAGCAGATACATTATGGATGCTGACTCAAACTGTTTTGACACAAAGCCTCTTTCATGGTGATAATTGGGCGGACGGGCTCTCAGATCCTTTTCCAAATTCACATTTCTACTCATAATTATCCTTAACCTTTGACCCTGATCTCCATCAGAGGGGTTAAGCACAAAGTAATGCTCTGGCCTGATGCTGCAATCAGAGGCTGATGACAATGTTTGTTTTAGAGAAGAACATTTACGTTGCAGTCATTTAGCAGCTGAACTGTAAGAGCGTCAAACTCTTCACTATTTTCACACTACTGTATATATTTTAAAATTAATGTTGTAAATATCTAATAATTTACCAATAAATTATATAAAAAATGATCTTTGTACAAAAACCAAGGGGCAACCTCCAGGTCTGAAAAGTGAAGCCAATGCATTCATAGACTACTATGAGAAAATGACAAGCTAGCACTAGTGTTAGCTGGTGATGCAGCCAGGCGGCAACCTCCTTGTAACACGTTCCTGTTACCACCGTGGGCTCTCCCAGCACAATGGCACTAGTACACTCAAATAGTGCTGCTTAACGTTCTTCATTCGTCATCACAGTTCAGGCTGGTCTCGGCCGTGCGCTCTCCTGCAGTGCCTCCGAGCGCACCCGCCGTGTATGATTCTGTCGGGATGGTCTGTCGTCCTCTGTGCAGTGCATTATATCTACTGACCAGCAGGGGGCGACTCCTCTGGTTGCAAAAAGAATTCCGATTGTATAGAAGTCCATGAGAAAATGAACCTACTTCTCACTTGATTTATTACCATTCAGTTGTAATAAAAGACACTCTAAAGAGTCAGCTGTTCATTCCAATAAGGAAGAGGCAAATAGCCAAACTCGAGGCTTCAAAACATCAGTCCACAAACCAATGTGTGACGTCACGATGACTATGAAACTTCTTACCTACAGTCTGTGGATGCAGCGTTACCTGCTGAAGGTACCGCGTCCTGCTGGGCCTCGCACAGCTTTAGATTGGAGGTCAGGAATACCGAATTGGAATTATTGACTTCCGACATTAGTCTTGTTACTCTCATATCTCTCACCACTTCCTGTATTCGGTCACAGTCGATGATTTGCAGTTTTTATCACGTTAACTTTGAAGTGCCTAAATCAATATTAAAAATGGGTCATAGTAGGTTCAAAGCTATAAGTACTCCATGGGTCATCACCCTAGTGTGTTTCATGTTTGTGTTTCACGTTTGTCGTCACGATTTTCAGGCTGTTTCTGCTGACAAGTTAATATTTCTGCAGCTTTGTAACCAAAAAGGAGGAGCCAACAGCTTCATCTCAGTTTGAACAAAGTCCTAAAACAACAAGTCTCCTGTTGTGTGTCAGGAACTTCAGAAACAGCCTGAAGTTTCTCTTCTTTGTCCTTTTTCTGGATGTGAGACTCAGCAGCAGACTGTGTGGGGAGAATACGCTTCAATCTGCAAAATTTCAGTTTGTCACGTGAGGGAAACAGATTGGATGTGAGGAGTTTGTTGGAGGGAGCTGCAGCAGATGTCTGGAGGGAATCTTTAGAGTAAATCAGATCACTGCGGCTCTGTGACAGGCGCCTCAGTCGGCCCCCATTAAGAACTCTTCACTCGGGGGCATAAAAAAAGGCTGCCGCAGAGTCGGAGCTGGTTAGCAGCAGAAACTCTGTCACACTGCAGAGGAGAAAGAAGAAAAAGTGGGTCTGCAGTCAAGAGTTTTCTCTTTTCTTGTTAGAGAACAGCTGGAAATAAGGACGGTGATGTTAGAACATCAGTCCAACACTTCGGTCTACATCTTGACTGTTTCAGGTCAGATTTGCAGAAAATGTGCTGCAGATGATGCATGCATATTATTTCATGCCTTTTATCTGCTGCAGTGTTTTTCTAGTCTGTCTTTATTAAACTAAAAAGCAAGGAATCTCAGACTGCCTGTCCTATGCACATGTATTTGTCCTTTGCATATCTTGAGAACTGTTCATCTGATCTACTTCACACTTGTTGGGTGTGTTGCTGAGGACACAGAGATGTGCAGCGTCGATGTAGGTGGGATTTGGACAAAAGACACGCCCACAGTTGATTTATTCCCTCAGTAAACATTGTAAACATGAGTTTATGGTCTCAATCTCTAGTTTCAAGTCTTCTTCAATACAGCATGATGTTGTCATGTGTATTATGGTCCATTTAGTGTCAAATAGACTATAAAGCAGGGTATGGTTTAGGGCGGGCTTACTGGGATTGACAGGTTTCTACCAGAGGCATCTCTACATCACTCCTCCGCAGTCCAAATATGGTCACTTCTTTTAATTGGTTGCAAGAAAAACAACATGACAATGTATCCAAGGTGAAGACGACGAAATCGATGAACTCGAGGCTTCATAACATCAGTTCCCAAACCAATGGGTGACGTCACCATGACTATGTTCACTTCTTATATACAGTCTATGGTTTATTGTCATGCACCAATCATCAAGCCAAATTCCTTTTATGTGCAAAATTACTTCAATCAAGCATTTCTGATTTGGATAACCTTCTTGACGTCAGGATTTCTTTCAGGACGGCTGTTTTGTTTTGCTGTAGCTCTGTGTTCCGAATCAGTAAAGGGTCTCTCTGAGAGTGAATATGTCTTTTAATTAAAGGAATGTTCGAGTAGGAGACGACGGTGGTTTTGTGCCTAGTTGGACAGCTGCTGCCAAATCATCTGGTGTATTGTATTAAATCTCTTAATGTGAGCAGTAACAGAAACTCACCCGAATATAAACACGGCTTCTTGGCGGCAAGCTTTCTGTGGAAATGATGCTTGTTACTTTATATTTCACGACTGTTTTATGATTTAGACTTCCCTACAGGACATTAAAAAAAATCATCTGACTCTGCACCATCCAGGACAAGTGCTTTGGTTGCCGTGGGAGCCTGGCTGCCGTCCACCAATCAGGGGGCAGCGATCCCAGCCCGCCCAGGACTTCCATCTTATCCCAGAAAACTGTCCTGGGAGCAGTTAGGAGAAGGTCAGTGAGCCTCAGTGTACCCGTCGCCCCATTGTTTCTGAATGAATGGGACGGTCTAATTACTGGAGCTGCGACTGGGGCGGCCAGCCTCGTAGACAAAAGACTCCGACATGCAAGTTTGGTGCCAGACAACAAATCAAAGCCAAACGGGTGATTAGAGAAGAATGTGGTTTACGTACGAGGAGTACCCTCCAGATAATTCTGAGAATACAATTAAACAAGAATGTCATGTCATTACCCACGGCTATAACTACAAATTAAAGTCCATGTGATTTTTATCTGAAATGATAGGGGGGATGTAGAGGCATTTTTTTTTTTTAAGAAAACAGGAACATTGTCCAAACTCTGGAATATGAATGGTGAAACTGAAGTGCAGTAGGAATCTTGTTTTTCTGATTAAAGTAAAATATCGGCGTTCATGTAAATCCATCCAGACTACGAGACGTTCAAATGTTAGATGTTAATAATGCAAAAACAAAGCCACTCCCTCAAAATTATCATTGTGAATGTAAACAACCAACATGGCTATTGTTAGTTACCAACCCTACCTTTAAATTAAATAAAAAAAGGTCTTTACCCTCAAACAGGCCTCTGAAGAAGTGAGGACCGGCTAAATGTCCCCACTTTGCTAAAATGTCCCCACTCTGTGGCTAAAAAGTTCATAGTCCTCACTACGTAGCAAGGACAAAAACACACACACACATCAACCTACTCCTACATTTGATGATTAGATTCCAGTGGTGTCTGCACTGGGAATTTCCCTTCACTTGACCACTTTAATTAAACATTTTCAACATTAGTTTTCAGATGTTTTAGCCTCGTATTGCTAAAGCTAGTGTTTGATATAATATTGCTAAAGTGTCATCCAAAACTGTCAGCAAAATGTGTTTTTTTCTCACTCCATTTAGGAAGCTCTGTTTCTGTACTTCTAAAACCCTGAACACGATGTGTTCTATCGGGGGCCAGACTGCACCGGCTCAGACCAGAAACCATCAGAGACGACTTCTTTCACAATAAATGCTACAATAAATGCAATAAATGCTATAAATGTGCTACAGTACCACAGACAGGACAGCACATGGAGGCTTCCATGTGCTGTCTGTGGTACTGTAGCACTGTTCACTGTGGCGGCCAGCTGAGAGGCAGACTCCCTCCCCGAGGACAATGTGTGCTGTGTCCTCCCCGGTAGTACGTAAGTAACGATGGCGAGAGGAAAACCAGCTATTTGTGCCAAGTGTGACGCAGCAAAAAAAACAACAAATGTTTTTGTTTCGATGTTTTTTTGGTCATTTAAACTAAATGACCAAAAAAACCTGATTTGCATAATAAATGATTTTCTTGCATTGACATGTTTCTGCTGTCCGTCTTTGCCTGAGGAGGGTTCAGCTGTTTGCTGGACGAGGACTTGTTGTGTCGAGTCTGAACTGGACAAACAATGGTGACTGTGTCCTGTGGACAGACGGCGACGGAGAGACTGACTCTGCCTCTTTTTGTTTCTGGACCAACATGTTTCCCTCTATGAATAAATAAAATAATTGCTATATTGCCAATTTAAATACACATTTTCTTTACCAGTATCGGCCAAAATACAGCAATACGACCGCACCCGATATCACTACAGTAACATGACGTTAACCGTGTTTTTTATATTTATTTTAACTGTTTAACGGTTCGTAGCAGGAAAACACAATGTTGAACTTTAAAATGTCAACAACATAGTTATTGTAAGAACTTTATGGTATTATTCAGTACTCATATCGGGAGGTAGGTATTCAAATGTGAGTACTTGTAAATTGGTACCAGTGCATCCCTAATTTTCCACCTGTGAGGCTGTATGAAAAGCTAAATCGTTAGCATATTCTGTCCAACACTTCAATATTGTGGCTGTAAGAAAATGCAGAACGCACAAACATTTGTTTTTAAGCTCATCACTTCCTGTTTACAATTCAAAATAAAAGCCCTCTTGCTTCTGGAATATTTTCAGGACAGTGTTTTGGAAAATGCAGCAACTAGAGGATCGACTTCTAATTGTGGATTGTTATCCTTATTTACAAATGAGCACATGCTTCTGAACTTTTTTTCCATCTGAACTTAATATAAATGATGTATATGATGTAATAAAATGAAACATTCCGGCCGTTATGAAAGACAAACTCTATGTAGAAAGGAGGACTGGTAGCAGCATCAACGTAGCTACCTAGCTAACTTTAGCTAGGCAGCCTGTTGAAGACATTTTATTTGAACTTTGCTCTGGTTTAGTTTCTCTTTCTCTGTGATGCAACACATTGAACTGTTCAATCAACCGTCTAAATGCACACCACGGAAAACATCTACTTTAAAATACTGTTTAATTAAAGTGACACTTTCTTGTGGCTAAAAAAAAGAAAAGAATGTCGTCAGCAAACACAAACACAGCACCAACGATTCAATATATTACTGTTCGTTCCAATGACGCACTTAGCTCACGGTTTTATGTCCGTTAACTCACGACAAATCACGGTTCAACTTTATTTTAGGGGTCTGTAATTTCCTTAGAATTTCCTCAAAAATAAAAATGTAATTTGGCAAATGGAGACAGTGATTGATTGCTACATGCATGCTGAGCAATATATAGATATTATATCGATATTGTGACATGTGACTGGATATCGTTTTGGATTTTGGATATCGTAATATGACATACGTGTTGTAATTTCCTGGTTTTAAAGTGACTGTTCTAGCTGTTCTATTATTTACTTCTTACACTTGTCAAGTGTAAAATATGTAATTGCTATATCTTCTCAAGTTAACTGAACATGCTTCAGGAAAGCATTTAAATTTACATAACTGGAGAATACAATTTTTGATTAAAAGTTATTATTAATGTGTATTTTGTATTTAAATGGAGCAGCTATTTAAGGGACAGTTTACAACTGCTTTTTAAATTAAACTAAACTGTAACTCCTTTTCTCCAAAGGAAATTGTTATGAAATTACAGACACTTGAAATAAAGCGTTTTAATTATCTCAAGCTTTTTTCTTGTGATCTCAAGAGTCTCCAGGGTCTCCAGGGTCCACGTCTGCTCTCAGCTTCAGTAAAATACAGTCACAGTAAACAGAAAGTAAGACTGAGTGCATTAACTGAAAAGAACTAAACACATAAAAGCTATTAGCTAAAACTGTCTGTGTGTTCTTTCATATATGAACTCTGTAAACAGTGAAAGGACGAACTGTGTCCGTCAGTAAACATGAAACGTGTCCAACAGTTTTTTAAAAGACCTCAGGAATCTACAGCCTGATGTGTCAACGCGTCCACCAATGAAACTCCTTCAGAAGAACGACCACAAGAAGCTCCGCCCCCCGACGCTGCTGATCTTTAACCTTTTCACCTCAACAGTGTGTCCCCACGCCGGCGTAGGAGGTGGACGCCTCCCTGCGGATGGTGCTGAACGGCGACAGCTCCAGCTCGGTGGTGGCGTGCTCGTTGTCGGCGTCGGCGTCGGCGTCGGCCGCGGTGGTGGCGTCGTCGGAGGCGCGGCGTGATGGGCCGCACTCGGCGCAGCAGCAGCAGCAGCAGTCCAGGAGGGCTCTGGTGAATGGCTGGCACAGGCAGAACAGCAGCACCGGCGTCACCGCCGACTTGCAGAAGAGCAGCATCTGGCTGACCAGCTGCAGGATGTCCAGGGTTCTCCGGGGAATGCCGGCCGCCATGTACGCGCTGATGATGTTGCAGATGTTCTCCGGAATGATGCAGAAGCCGTAGAGGATGGCCAGCGCCACCACGGTGCAGTTCATCTGGCTCTCCAGCTGGATCTGCTTCTTGCCGCCGCGGACACAGGCCCGCTCGGCGTGCCGGATCTTGTGCGCGGTGACCAGCGAGCAGCAGATGGTGAACAGCGTCGGTAGGCAGAAGTAGCAGCCGAAGTACCACCAGAGGCGCGCGCCATCGTAGGTGAGTCCCAGCACGTACAGCGTGTCCGGGAGGTCGGTGGAGATGCGGATCACGCAGCGCTCGCACGGCGTCGCGTCCGGCGGGTCGCCGTCCTCGGTGACCAGCTGGCGGATGAGCAGTTCGGGCAGCGCCAGCAGCAGAGCGCCCACCCAGATGACGGCGAGCTTGGCCGTGGTTGACGCCCAGTTCTCGATCATCTCGTAGTACAGCTGCACGTTGGTGGCGGCACGGAAACGGTCGATGCACAAGGCGCAAAGTGTGAACGTCGTGACCCCGAGAGACGCCACCTGGGGAGAGGAAGAGGAGCGTCAGAAAAACTCTACACAACGAGAAAGAATAAGGAACGTGAAACAACTTTCTGACTTAACAGCAACAACAAATCAGTTTACTGGACGACAATCTGACAGGACGATGGTGAATAAAGTCAGAATATTGTAAAAAATAGTCCAAAAATGTATTTGAGATTTAAGTCATAATCTTGAGAAAAATCTAAAATATTAACAGATACATTAAGTTAATGAAACGTCTACAATTTGACGGGGGAGTTCATCCTTTAAACGGCATGAGGCGTTCATGTGTATTCCTTTTTGCATTATTTAACTAACTCTTTTAGAAACATCTTCATTACAACTTGGATGTTGAACAGAATGGCATTAAAAACTGCTAAACTGGTAATAATAGTGTGTCTGATGACAATTACACCTCCAACAACAACAGTCTGTGGGCTTGTGGGAAATGGTGTTCATTAAAGGCAGCTAGAAACATAAACATTCACCATTGAAGGCCAAGATAGTAAAGTTATGATGAAGCTTTGGTTTTATTTATGTATTTAAATGATGATAGCGTGTGTGTGTGTGTGTGTGTGTGTGTGCGTGTGCGTGCATGTGTGTTGGGGGTCGGACCATTAGCAGTTTTCAGATTTAATCCTCCTGCTGTTTTTGTGTGATTACGCTCCTTTAAACAGTCAGAGGAGACAACAAACCTGATCTCAGATCAATTTATCTGTTGGAATTAATGAATAAACTAGTAAACTACCGATAACACACAATGTCAGACTTTAGTTCTGGCTGGTTTCATGTTGAAATGTATGTTGTTTTTTAAAATTAATTTGGAATTAAATACAATTATCCCACTGTAAAATTTAAAAATATACACAATTATTTGAAAAATGAAAAAAGAATTGAACTTTTATATTATTTGAATTAGAATTTTTTTTTAAAGACAAAAAAGTAGAAAAGATAAGATGACAGTCGGTGACGTCTGTACACATCAATAATGTCATGTAGGTCACCATCTCGAACAAAGAGCTGCAGCTGCTAAGAAGATTAAACTCCATAAATACGACCTTTTGTTTCCAGACGTCACGTTAAACACGTTGACTCGCTCACGTTTCAGACAATCAGCTGATTTAAAAACGTGTCAACATCTACACCACAGACAGAAGACTCACTACACTCACACACTACATGGACCAAAGCATGGGGACAGCTGGTCATTGCAAAAATAAATATATGAATATAATGTCTGAGAAGATGGAATCAGCGGGACTTGCTTCCGTTCTACAAAAGTACGCAACATCCGCTTGGTGGCGCTTCCCGGTCAGCTCACTCATTTTGCCATTGAAATAGTTTTATGTGAATTTTCAAGTATCACATTAGAACAAATGTGTTGAAGAAGACTTTAAACTAGAGATTGAGACCATAAACTCATGTTTACTGAGGTAATAAATCAAGAGAGAAGTAGAGTAATTTTCTCATAGACTTCTATACAGCCAGAGGAGTCGCCCCCTGGTGGACACTAGAGAGAATGCAGCTTTAACACATGAAGCTTTGACTTCACTCTGCAGAGCCAGAAATTGCCGCCTGGCGTTGCTGATAGCAGCAACACTACACTGTAGATGAGTTTATTCACTCCAAACCAGTTGATGGAAATGCGCCAAACTCATATTTTCCTTGTTTTTTGGGAGACATATCAGATGTTTGCTTAAAATTCGCTTGACGATTGAATGGAAACATATTCCATCACTGTTCCTTTCACAAAACAGGATTTAAATCGTTGAGACATCGATCCAGTCGATAATGTAGATTATGTCTGTAAACCCGTCGCACTACTATGAGATACTCTGTTCAAACCAGCCTTGAATTGGGAATAACTCCGCGATTGTCAGGAAGAAGAACCCCCGAACTAAACTACAATACAGGACGTGGATGAAAAAATGTTTGATATAACTTATTAAATTAAACACAAGGTCTAAATCTATCCAGATCTAATCTCAGTCCTCCCGTTTCCTCCACTGATGAGGGGGTGGGGGGTCATATTTGTCTAATCTTCATTAATCCCCTCTGATTGGACAGCAGGATGTCACATGATCAGCAGGTGTCGTCGGATTAAAGACCCTTCACATGAGGCGACATTAAACCTGGATTTAAACCCCGACTGCAGTCTGGAGCCGCAGTCCTCTGAGCTCTCATGAACTAGACCTGAACTGTAAATATCATCTTCTATCATCGTCTCATAAATAGATCAGTTTGTCAGATTTAAAATAACTTTAAAGATCTAATTTTGACGGTTTCAGAAAGTTACGTTTGTTCAGTCGTGTAAAAATAATTTCATCTCGTTTGCGTACTTCCCAGTATTTATGGTCTTAACCATTCAGTTACGAGAGGCTGATAATTCCTGAGTGGTGGTTTTGATGTGAGTTATATAATTTGATTTGATTCCTTTTCCAAAAAAATGTTTTTTAAATAAAGCTGAAGAGTCCTAAAAAGCTGAAGTGTGAACCTCTCAGCAGTGTTCAACACAGATTACTGTCAAACTTTCACCAGAAGTTCTTAAGATTAAAAACAGAGCAACAGAATAAATGCATTTTACAAACAACATAATATATCTATATTTATTATCCCGTTTGTAATCACCAACATTTTGATTATTCACTAAATCACATATTTTGTCTCAGTATGTGACTGATTGCAACTACATGTATTTAGTTACTAAGCTGTTAATATGGAGACAGTAAAATGTTCATGCACCTTAACTTTCCTCCTGTCTACATGAAGAACAAACTACGTCCTGCACGTAACTTTGGCACTGATGAGACTAAAAGGTATATACATATATACACATATACACATATACATAAACATATATGTACATGTATATGTACATATACATGTACATGTACATATACATGTATATGTACATATACATATACATACATACATATATATACACATATATATACACATACATATATATACACATACATATACATATATATATACATATACACATATACATATACACATATACATATATATATATATTTGCATGAAGCTGCAACTTACATTTCACTGTGCAACCCTGTGTTTTACATGACAAACAAATGAACGTTAAATGAAGTTTGGGTCAGTCTGAGTTAAAAGAAATAAGTGAGTTTCTTAAAAGGACAAAATGTCTTCTGTTACTTTCCTTCCATCACAGCTCAACAAGGAGGATTCTGACACTTCAGATGACCTGATTATCTGGTGCTGAGGGTTTATTACTCACCTTTAATACTGTATTTCAGCTATGAGTTCTGAAGCTGCTCAGTGTTTTATCTGCTTATGTTATTGGTGTTTTGTGCACATGTGGTATAAAACGTGTTATTTTGTGTTTCACAGTGAATGTGCTTATTGTCGTCATCGAAACCTCTCATCACAAAACTACAAACACCTGCTGCCTCAAAACGAACATCTTCCGGTCCATCACCAGCATCCACCCCCCCCCCCACCACCACCACCACCACCACCACCATCACCATCAGAACCCGAACCCCCGACCCCTCTCACCTCCAGGTAGGGGATGATCCTGCACGAGAACTCCCCGAGCAGCCAGTCCTTGGTGAGCTCGCGGAACACCACGAGCGGCAGGCAGAAGAAGATGATGACGAAGTCCCAGAGCGCGAGGTTGGCCAGCAGCGAGTTGGAGATGCTCCTCATGTAGTAGTTGTGACACACAATGCACATGACCGACACGTTCCCGATGATTCCCACTCCGAAGATGACGGCGGCGACGATCACGACCGCGTACGCCCCGACCGACTCCGCGGTGACCGGGTAGAACGGGTTCTTAAGCTGCTTCCGTCTGGTCCGCGGGTTCACGGGCGCGAGCGGCGTTGTGTCGGGAAAGTCCGGCAGCGAGTACTCGTCCTCATAGTCGCTGGCGTTGTTGAGTCCGAAGGGGGGTCCGGCCTCTTGTTCCTGCGCCATGGCGGCTCCGTGTTGCGGCGGCTCGCTCCGCTTCCTCCTGCGCTTCTGCCGCCGGCTGTGTCCGCTCCTCCTGAGGCTACAGGTGCGTCCACGCGGGGTTTGTTGGAGCGCTTCTCCCGGACGGCATCCACCGCTCCCGGCCTTGTTTACATCCGCGCGTAAAGCTTCGTCTCCGGATACCCGTCGGATGCGCCGCGGTCCATTTGGCGCGTCGCTTTTACGCACGGGGCGTTGGGATATCTGCATCCCCAACAGGTCAGAGGATGACGGGTTTACAGAATACAGCCACGAGGACTGCGCGCTCACACCGCGCGTCCCTCCATTGTCCTCCCCGATGCCTGTGCGCCATCTCCGGCTCCGCGCATTCCTGTCAGCGGCGGTGGACTCCTGATGGGGACTGAAAGTCGTCTTTGTTTTGTGCCAGTGGAGCTGACTCGCCGCGGCCTCGATGCACAGCCACAAACACAGCAACCTCAAGGATGGACGCAGCATCGTGTGGTTCCTGTCTAACCTGCGAGATCAAACTCGTGCGTTTTCCAAAATGATCGCTCCATCTTCTGATAATCAGTCCAAAACAATGAAGCGAGAATCTTAACTTAAATCTGCAACAACACAAAAATGAATCAGTTTTCCTTCATCTTTGCGCGCAACCAGCTTCCACATGGTCTTTTGTCGTGTATAAGAGGTGCACCTGTCGGGTTTGGTGGCGTCCCGGAGCGGCTCCAGTCTGGATGCATCACCAGAGACCAGAGTGAAACAAAAACCTTTAAACTGGGCTGGAAAAAAAGTAAACTGACCGTTCAGATCATCCGCAGCTGAAGGTGAAGGAGAGGGGGAGAGTGGAGCAGGCCCAACCTCCGCCCCATTACGTTTCTGCGCGCACAGCAGCTCCGGAGGGCTCGGAGGACGGGGAAGAGCGAGGTGAAATGCTGCGTGTGGAGACGCCAAGGTCCGTCTGAGAGAGAGAAGAGGATCCGAGAGGAGGAGGAGGAAGGCGGAAAGGAGGAGGAAGGGAGGAGAAGGAAGGGAGGAGGAGGGAGGAAGGGAGGAGGAGGAAGGAGTCATCTGTCACACCTGCTCTGCTCCAATAATAATCTGTTCGAATAACACTGAACTGTAATCTGTGTGGGATTAACAGGAATCAGAACTGTTATTATCTTTTCGATTTAACAAACTTTTCTTCATTCAAAAAGAATAGGAATCTTGGTCATTTTGATGAGATGACTCGAATATAACACAACATTTATTTAAAATAAATAAATAAAGAAAGCTTTGTCCACTGAGCAAAACACATTTATAAACTATTTACTTGACAATTAAGAAAAAAAGTTACTGAGGTTTAAAGAACAACTGTTTTGTAGTTATTTAGTATCAACAACAAATACAAATAAATATTGAAGACATTAAGTAAACTACTTCTACTATGCCCATAATAATAATAATAATAGTAATCATTATTATTATTTTTATCTCATATATAGACAATCTTAATATAATTGTCGGAATACTTCATGAATACACACATCTATAAATGTGTATAGGATATTTGTGTACAGTACTTGTATACAGTAGTATCCCTGCAACGTGTATTATTGTACAAAGAGTTTGAATCAATCAATCATCAGAAACTTCCCAGCATGCCTAATACAGCAAAAGTTCCAGCAACAAAATGTTCGAAGGGAAGTTCAATGAATTCAATGAATTTGAATTCAATTCAAATGTCAGAGCAAAACTACTTTCTGGTTCTCCACGCCATCTAGTGTACATTCTGTGTATTACACCAACACTCCCCTGTCTGAAGATCTGAACATACTACAAGAGAACATTTAAGAGTTTGACTGAACAGATTCACACTTTTATCTCCTGAACACAGAGTCAGATTTAGACTCAGTGTTTGAATCTCTTATGACTGCTGACATCTAGTACATCTACTGTACTTAAGTAGAAATTCAAAGTATGTTGTGCATTTTCATACTTCTCTATTACTATTGCATATGCATATGTGTTGATGATGAATGTTTGTGATAAACTGAAGGATGAAGTGTT